AGTTTAAATTATATATCGCTTTATACAATATATATATATATATATATAATCGCATAAACTTAAACTTGCATTTTAAAAGAGTGGATTTTGTAAAAGATCTTTAATTTACTATAATAAATTATTTTTCCTATTTATGTGTGTATATAAATTTACTCTATGTATGTAAAAATGGAAATGACACATGAAGATGAGAAAAGCCATAATTCAATTGACTCTTATCATATATCTTTATGCAAGATTGATTTGTTTAGAGTTTAGTTAAGAGTGAAAAAATTATAAAGTGTATAACTTATATTAAAAATTAATATAAAAGTTTTAAAAAATATACCTTTTAAGTGGGGAGGTAATGTGTCTTCATCAATCATTCCACCTTCTTCCAGTAGCTCTAATTCTTGATCAGTAATATTAGTTAATTTATTCCAAGGGATGTAACTGACACCTAATTCCACTTCCCAGTAATCTTTCCATTCCTTGCCTTTCACACCTTTACCAGGCGCCCATGCCAACTGTATAATTAAAATAGAAGTATACTGTATTTAAAGTATCTCGATTTTATTTAACTATGAGTTATGTCATTAAATAATTATAATTTACCGTAATAGCTTTGCCTTGCATTTTTTGATTTTTTAATTTCGTGAGTGCTCGATATGCATCCTGTCTTCTATTCATGCATATAAACGCACAACCTCTTGGTGAGATTAAATCAATGCTAACGATGTCGCCAAGTTCCCCGAATGTATCGGATAATTCTTCTTGATGTACAAGTTTCGATAAATGTCCTACCCAAAGTGTTGTACTGCAAACTGTAAAAATATAAAATATATAATGTGTAAAATGCTAAATGTAAAAATATACATTTAATCTTTGCTACTTTTCTATTTTGAGAGAATGTTGAAAAAATGTCTTTCATTATAGAACACATACCACTTAATTTATCTCGAACTATCGGTGGCAAGCCACGTTTGCGTCGTTCTCTATCTTTCTCACGCTCTTCTTCCGTCATCTTTTCTCGGCTATCATCACGTTTTCTGTCACGACCCCTATCTCTTGAACGAGATCTATAAAAACAGAAATATTTATATACAAAATTAATAACAAAAATATAATTTATTTTTTTATTTAATATATTTCAATTTTTTATTTAAATTTATTTAATATATTTCAAATTTCAGTTATAAAAACAATTTAGTTCAATGCTAGCTTCAGTCAAAATAATTACCTTCTTCGTCTTGATCTACTCCTAGATCGAGATTTTCTATCTCTATCTCGATCTCTATCTCTATCCCTGTGCCGTGGGGATCGAGATCGACTGTGATGTCGATACCGTTCTGGCGATCTACTTTGGGAACTCGTGTTTTCGCAGTTTACGATTTCTACACTGCTGCTATCACGTCTGATATTGTTCCTATTAAAAAAAGCTATCATTAGACAATATAAAGTTACATTAGTCAAATTATTACAAGTTATACATTTACCCAGGGTAATCTTGCGTTTCTTGACGTTCATCGAGCAACGGACTCTTTTGATTTTGATGTGTGGACTGATTCATTTGTCGAATATTTGACAAGGATTGCGAGGTATATGACATAGCTGGTGGGTAACCAGGTGGGGGCTGGCTCATATCTTGCATCACATTGCTATTCATGTTTGAAGTATAATTTTGTGTATTTGGTTTTAAAATATCAGAAGGTTTTAATTCGCATTCAGATGCGAATGGAAGCTTCTGAAATAGAAAATAGAATTTATTATAATTTAAAATATATAATAAAATATATGTACGTATATGAGAGATTACAGGAATTATCTAAACGACTTACAGGAACAGTTTGTGCTAAATGCTTATCAAATTCTTCTTCCTGCTGTTTCATTTGTTGCAGTTTGCGCATCTTTTCCTCCATTTCCATCTGTGAAGAGGATGATGCATTGCTCTGCATAGTTTGTTGCAAAGTTTGTAATTGTCTTAAAACCTTTAAATAAAATAAAGTGTGCAATAATTGCATCACGTTTTATATATTTTAGTATTATTATTATTAAATTTCAGTATTTGATAAATACTGAAATTTAATAATACCTCTGAATAATAGTACTTCTGGATTTAATAGTACCTCTGGATTTGTAAGCAAAAATCCAAGGCTTTCTAAACTGTTATTTGTCGAGATTGCATTGTGTTGGGTATTGACCGAGGCAGCTGTGTTTGGAGAACTAGTAACAACGACGTCATCATCTTCTTCTTCGCCGTAATCAAAATCTAGCAACTTTTTATCAAATTTGACAGAACTCTTTGGTTCATTTGTAACCTCCTTTTTCAAAAGTAATTGTTGCAATTGTGCCAACTGATCGAGGAGAGAAGGATCCATCGAATTGGAATTGGACTGATTCTATGGAAGAAAACAAGATTCAATATACAGGGTGTCCGGTGTCGGTCGTATCACTTCTCGTGAGCAGGTAGAGCTAATAAAACTAAGTAGAAAAGTCCTTTACCATTTTGCAATTCCGCGATAATTATCGAGTTATTAATTCTTAAAAATCACTATTGAAGAAAACAATTCCTCGCGCGCCTAGCAATAATGATTTCTGGGCGGGAGTATTTTACTGCGCGCTTGCATTTGCCGATGAGCCAGGCTAATATGATGATTTTTAAAAATTAATAACTCGATAATTATCGTAGAAATTGCAAAATGGTAGAAGACTTTTCTACTCAGTTTTACCAACTCTATCTGCCCACGAGAGATAATACGACCGATACCGGATACCCTATATATAAAGGATTCAACATGATTTATATAAAAAATTTTCAGTCAATTTGCTTAAATTTGTGATATGTTATAGTTCTTACAGCCATGATTAAAATTTCAATTTTCAGAATGCTTATATGATATTTATCTACGAGTCTACATCTCCTCGCATGTATACATGAATGGCGCGTGACATTCATATACATATATACATGCAAGAGATACATAATTGTAAACTCGCATAGATAAACGTATGAACGAATTTCATGAGATTTTCAACTATTTATAACTTAAAAACTAGTCGTACAAAGATTTCTGAAAATTGAAATTTTTAATCAGAATTGTAAGAATTAATACATATCGCAAATTGAACTAAATTGAAAACGTTTTTTATATAAATCGTGCTGACTCCTTTTCACTAAATATATCCGTATTTCAAAATGCAAATAATATTACCATAATTAGTTTGTTTGCGTTGGCTGCTGCTTCCACTTTCGTTTGCGCTAGCCATGCTGGATCAATCGTTTTTCCGGATGGAAATAGTTTGGGATCCTTCACAGCATTTTTAATTCCGGATGGCGGAGTTTTAGTGACCGCGCTTACATTACTTAGATTATTTCCAGACGATGCATTTAATGTACCTTACATATAGAAAAAAATATTAAATTATAGATACTTTCCAAGTACATATGTCTACATACTTATATTGTTTCCTAATTTAGAATATTTTTACTCAATTGTATTTTTATATATCATATTTACCATTGCTATTTACTGATTGTTCTTTATGTATTGGATGATTTGGATCTGCTAAATCAAAAAGCGGTTGAATAACTTCCGGTGGGAAAACTGAATTCTTTTGCCAAAGATTCAATACGCGTATAACTTTGCTTTTATCCTCCTGCGGACACTTCAAAAGATTGAGAAAAGTGGTCTGCATGTTCTTTGCGAATCGTGGAGCAAATACATCCTTTTCCGTCCCAAACTGATGTCGGGATTGTCTAACAATTGAATCTATTACATACAACCCTGGTACTTTGTACTCCGGCTTGCACTAAAACAAAGTGATATTAGTGACAGAATCAGACATTACCAATACAGAGCAATACAGATATATGTATAATGTTAGGAAAAACATTCATATTTCAGATACTTACTTTTTGGATGAATTTTTCCACACTTTGTACAACATGCTTGTAGAATTTTATTGCTTTGATAGCTCCCCGTGTAAGTGAATTCATTTTGGCTTTTGAGATGGGTGGTTTAACATCATACAGAGCGGAAAGCTGTGTAATAAAAAAATCTGTATTAATTTTATTTTCTTTAGAAGCATTTAAGTGTCGGTCCACAATAAGTATTTAATCTTTAAGCCATAAGAAATTGACTAATCATAGTCGATTATTCTTTTCATATACGATTATAATTGGTCAATTTCTTACTTCTTAAAGCTTAAATCACCTATTGTGGACCGACACTAATAGAAACTAAAGACTAAAGAATAAAAAAAACGATATCTAATAATTATCTCTTGTTTTCTTAGTGTTACAAAATAGAATATATACAGTACAATAGAAGGTACATATTTCGATAAAAAGTAAATATCAAAGGCATTAAAATATCTTTATAATGCCAAGAACTGCAACTAATGCATTGAAATATAATATGTATATATTACAAGAGTGCAGATCAAAACATCGCGTGTGTACACACTTGCATCTCATAGTTTCACGATTCAGATATAACTCAGCGAGATCGGAGTTCGTCCTTCGGTAGAATTTGGCGAAAATATTTCTCGAAAATAAGTCCACGCGATGGCGAGCCACGGCGAAGGGAATCGTGCGACTCGATCGCATGCTCTCTTGGACGAGTCGCACAGCGAGCGACGTCCCTTCGGCGCGAAGGGACCTTCTCGTCGCGATCGAGTCAAGGAGGGGGAGACTCGGGGGGGAGGGACGACGCGTATTTTTCTCCTCTCGCGAGTGCGTTCGCGACTCGCGCGAGATTTGGCGAGGGTGAAACGAGGTAGAACGAGCGGAATCGAGGGCGAAAGCGCAAAGAGAGGGAGAGCTGCCCCTATGACGGTGACCTCTAAGGACGTGCGCGTACGAGCGGAGGGAGCTCCGGGGTGTGTGTTGCTTACCTCCGCATTGAACGCCTTCACCGCGTCCATCGTGCGGTGCGGGAACGAGGCTCCCTCGTGTCACGGTCACCGTTGAGTCTCACGCGAGTCCTGACGCAGCGTAATACCAGCGTAACATCCGCGTTGTAACTCGCATGTCTCCTTTATCACGCACTGTGTAGCCGAGCCATGCCATTCAAGATGGCAGGTACCCGTGTTTCCCGATACGCATCGCGGGGCGGCCGAAGCGTGACGTCACACCTGTCGTCCGCCCGGCCGGTAAGGCAGGCGGAAGCGTCGATTCACGGCGGTTATATCGATCTTACGAACGTCGACGTAATATGATAAATTCCTCGTTTTTTTAGCGCATAGAAACGCGGCGAACACATTCCACGGGTTAACTGTCATATAGGGAACAATTAAATCTTCGTAACCAGGTTAAACATGGAATTTTCGCGTTTTCGATTAATTTCGATATCACGTTCATTGATGGTCACTTCCGCACTGGCAAAATATGGCGGAATCAACCGCCACATTTGAAGATGAAAAATGAATGTTATTAATTTACTTGGTATTTGTATGTAAGTTTATAAGTGCTTTTATTATATATATATTTTGTATATATAATAACAATAAGAAAATATAATTAATAAAAATAGTCTAACAATAATAGTAATGTTTTTCGAATAATCATGATTTCTTGATTTATCTCATTGGGCATGCTTCAAATACGCATTCAACTTCATGTGCTAATATTGAAGATTAAATTCAATTTCTATTTAATTACTTTTTACTTTTTTTTAAGTCTTAAAACTAAAAAGAAAATAGATTGTATCGAGATTGAAACGATCTTTTACCTTTTCTCATTCTTTCTCTTAACAGTCATGACGTACGAATAGCTAGATGCGATGCATTTTTGATTCGATAGTATCTGTCTTTCGAGCGATTATTGACGCCTGTGGTAGCATAGACACAAACCAAATAACGATTTACCAGCATTGCAGAAAAATAGATGTTCCGTAATTTACATCCACTTTATCAGTTGTCGCTAGTGCGCGGGAGAGGCCGGGGGAGAAACGAGAAACGGGCATTCTCGGGCTTCTCTTTGATTCCACGCTCTACGTTCGTTTATCGTGTACGCGGTGCGTATCGCCCGTGGGATTTCGTGAGCTTTTCTCACTTCTTGTAATCCGCTGTCTGGCGGCGACAGGAGAGGAGCCTCGTAATTTCGACGTGTGCCAATCTCGGATTCGCGGTGTCGCTTGTCCTCGTGACGTTTAGCAAGGAACCCGACCATGGAATCGACCGATCAACAGCCGATCAACGTTGCTTCGAATCCCGCAGCTCCAGAAACAGCGGAAAGTATCAAAGAGTGAGTTCCTTTACAAAGTGCGCCGTTAACCGTATAACGCGTGGACGCGTTGCCGCTGACGCACGCTTGCGTCATGCGGACACGGATGAAGTCGGGAACCTCGTATACGAGCATTCTTTCTGTGTGATCACGAGCATACTTGTGAATCCTCGCAATTTTCTGTAACTCGACTATATAAAGGAATCATGAAGTTTTTTTTTCCAGAACATTCATGTATGATAACATGAAGGTTCGAGAATGACGTCAAATGGGATTAATGTAACAGTTTGAAATTTTTTAAAACAATGCTTAATGTATATTATTATCTAAATGTATTCAATATTATAAATGTCTTGAAGACAGACTATTTTTTGATTAGTCAGTCAGATACTTAAAGTATTTGTAGCATAGAATGAATCGCAGCTCTAATTTGAATAGAGAAATATCTCTTTGAAAGTTTATATATAAATGTATATGTAGCATTTAATATTAGATATATAAGTTTCATAATGTAATTATATAATGCATATAATTTTTTTAATATTTTGTTTTAAATTAATATATTACAGATTGGCAGAAGAAAAAAAGGAAGCTGCTAATCAGTTTTATGTACAAAAACTATACAAGAAGGCATTGATTGGTTATAATGAGGTTATTGGTGAGTATTGTTATTGTATAAGTATGTTATATATTTGATTCCTGTTATACATAAAGGTTATACAACAATATAAGCTACCTTTAGAATGTTATAACTATTATTTTTATAGAGAATTATAATGAGACCAAAATATTTCAGGATTATGTCCTAACGTATCACGTTATTATGGTAATAGGGCAGCATGTTACATGATGCTTGGACAATACCGAGATGCATTGATGGATACTAAAAAATGTATTGAATTAGAGCCAAATTTTTCTAAGGTATGATTTTCTAATCATTAATTATATTGTAACAATTTAATAAACTTGCTTCTTATCTATAAATACTCCTAGGCATATGTAAGAATGATCAAGTGTTACCTGATTTTGGGAGACATTCTTGAAGCAGAGACTGCATTAAAGAAGTTGCAAGAATTTGATCCTAATAACGAATCAATACTTGCAGAACAAAATAATATAGCATATGTAAAGAAATTCCTTACAGATGCTGATATTGCTTATACTGCTGAAGATTATCGCAAGGTAAAAAATTTGGATGGATATTTTTGTATCTATCAATGATCTATTGACTAAATAATTAAAGAATTTTGTATCCTATAGGTTGTATATTGCATGGATCGTTGTTGTGACATAAGCACATCAGGGATACGTTTTAAACTGACCAAAGCAGAATGTCTAGCCCTTTTAGGGAGATATCAAGAAGCCCAAGATATTGCAAAGTAGATTATTTTTTATTTCTTGCCAAATTAATAATATATAATATTCATTCATATTAGTATTCATATCATTTTTGTTTTATCTCAGTGATGCTCTACATATTGATAAGCAGAATGCTGAAGCATTATACATTCGTGGAATGTGTTTGTATTTCCAAGATGATGTTGACAGAGCCTTCACACACTTTCAACAAGTGTTGCGACTCGCACCAGATCATGCCAAAGCACTAGAAATATACAAAGTAGATAAAAATAAAATTTTTTAAATTTATTATTTAACTAATATGACGTATTAATATATTTCTTGTTCTCTACAGAGAGCAAAATGTTTGAAGAAAAAGAAAGAAGAAGGTAACGCAGCATTTAAAAGGGAGCAATATCAGGAGGCTTATAATCTTTATAATGAAGCGCTAACAATTGACCCACACAATATCATGACAAATGCTAAATTGCATTTCAATAAGGCCACAGCGGCAGCTAAGGTATTACATTATATTATGTATATACTTTCTTTCAAAATTGATATGTTTACATAAATATTTCTGTTACTTTTTTTAGTTAGGAAAATTGAATGAATCCGTAGCAGAATGTACAGAAGCTTTAAAAACTCAATGAGAATTATTTGAAAGCTCTTATAAAAAGGGCAAGTATTTATATGGAACTCGAAGAATATGAAGAAGCAGTCCGTGATCTTGAAAAAGCCTGTAAATTGGACAAGAATACTACTCGTGGTATGAATCTTATCAATATTTTAGTATGATAGCATAAAATAATATTAATACTAATTCAACTTCTTAATGCATTATTTATAATTTTTTCAGAATCAAAAAGATTACTCGCAAAAGCTAAATTGCTGTTAAGGAAATCTAAGAGGAAAGATTATTATAAGATTTTGGGTATCGATAAAAATGCATCTACTGAAGATATCAAGAAAGCATATAGAAAACGAGCTCTGGATCACCATCCAGGTATAAGAAATTAGTTTTGTTGAAAAATAAATAAAACTTTAAGCATATTTTTATATTATTGTACTTTACAGATCGCCATGCTAATGCTAGTGAAGGAGAAAAAAGAGAACAAGAAAAGAAGTTTAAGGAAGTCGGAGAAGCTTATGGTATTTTGTCGGATCCCAAGAAGCGATCCCGCTATGATCGTGGTCACGATCTAGATGACAATGAGGGTGGTTTCCAAGGTTGGTTATTTTCATTTTATACTTTTCTACTAATATTAATAAGTCATATATTTATATATTTTTTTCATCCCTTTAGATATGGATCCGAATACAATGTTCCACTTCTTCTGTCAAGAAGGAGGCTTTCAGTTCCAGTTTCAAGATGGTTTCCCCGGTAGTGCTTTTCAGTTCCAGTTTCCAGGTTAACAATGTTTTCAAAAAAACACATATATCACGGAGTATATGATATACAAGTCTGTTTTGGTAGATACTGCATCCGATTTTTGAATATTTAAGCTCGCGATGCAATGTAGTATCATTTGCATTTTGTAACTTTGAGATTGTTGAACGTAGGCGTTTGTCTAAGCGATTCATATATACATATTTATTTAAACATGACATACAGTTGTATATATAACATTCACAACCTTATATATTATAATATGCGATGCGATATTCGAGATATTCGATTTAAGGAATTAAAGAAAAGAACATTAAGGTTAACGTCGAAGTACAACAGGCAATTTCAAGGTCTGAAATACACTCGTACCTGACGAAACCTTTAAAGGATAAGTAAGAAAGAACAGTAAATATCTTAGATTGATAAATGAAAAACATTCTTATTGAGAAACTTATTTTATTTTTTAATTGAAATTCTGAACAACTATCCACGCATTGTTATTGCGGTGTATTAATTATTGAAAAAGATCCGAATTTTAATTTTTACTTATTTTACCATTAGTCTGAGCTGTTTTTGAAAAGTCAAAGATTTATTTTAACATTATTAATCGAGTAATGTTAAAAGCGAATCAAGTTTAATATGTAATCAATGAAATATTGTTCCACAATTTTTATGCTCATATGTATATATATATATCTGTTAGTTCCATGCCTGGTTTTAAAAATCAGAGCACAGTATGACTATCATTGTGACAATTGATTAAAACAATATAAACTATGAATTCTATATCTTTGCGATATTTGCTTGATGATATATGACGTTTACAAAGTAAAAATTTCAATAATATATTGTTTCCAGATTTTAAAACCTATAATGTATTCATTCCACAGATCTTTCTACAAATACATAAATTATAATATCTTCGGTTTGTATTCAATCATATAAACAATATCTATATTAATATGGTAATATTTTATTAATATGATCAATTTTTTATTTACTACATAAAATGATAATTTCATTATATTTATATTATTAAAATGTTTTTCATGCTTGAGTGATATTTTATGATTAAAATATTAATCATGCCGCTGTTGAAGAATTTGTTTTCAGACTACAATTCACAAATTTTATTTGTAATACTTTTTCATTATTTATCTTGTTAAGACTTGCTATTCTCGCCTTATATACATATGATATTGATTATAAACAGCCAACTCATAGCAATGCGAGTTTCAATAGCAAAAAATTGAGGCAAGCATTTTGATGAATTTCGTAAGCAACATATTAAGGAACTGAATTTGCATCATGTGTACATGTGTATATTCTAACAAAAAATAAAAATCTAATGCAATATAATTAGCATAATAAATATTTAAATATACTATTATTTGTAAATTCTGTTTACTTTAAGTTTTTATTTTTAATTCTCAAAGGAAATAAAGGAAGAATTTATTGTTAACTTCTTTCTCTTTTTGATCTCAATAGGATTAGTTAATTTTAAAACAATGTCAAATCTAGAATTTAGACTAAGATCTACATGAAAGAAAAGATGTATTTGTGCAATCCTAATTTAGATATTAAAACAAATTTTGTAATTTATTTTGATGACATTATTTCTCAAAATAATTATAAATACTATGATTATTGATATTATAATTTATTAATATATTAATCATTATTAAAAAAAAATCAAATATCACTGGATACCTATCGTGTTCTGCATTCTCATAGGTGACTGAAAATGTCTCGGCATGACAGCACAAGACATCATTTCTTTTTGAGGGACCACGTGGTAGCTTCTTGCTGAGTCGAGCAATTTCGACGATCACTTATCTTCCTGTCCAAGAGCGTTCGTTCCTTGCTGTCGGAAATGGACGCGTGGAAAGACAAAGGTTGAGGAAGAAAGGAGTACAAGAGACAAAGAAAGACAGACCGTTTCATGCGAGCGAAAGAGAGATAAATAGAAGGAGAGAGAAAGACAGAAAATCAGAGGAGAGAAGTTTGGAGGTGACTTTCAGGCGTGGAGAGTTGCGAGCGTCAAGGCAATCCACTCGATCACTCTCTGGGGACACTGAGAAATCCTGGGATTCGTCGTACATTCATACACATGCACGTGTCGCGAAATAACAACAACGTGTTCGCGACGTGTTCGCGAATCTCCGAATAATGTTGAAAAAACCGTTTAAGCTCCGTAAAAGCATGTTTATTAAATAATAAAAAATTAAATCAATGATGAATCAAATTTTGTAACTTCTTATCAGATATTAGATACAAGAAGCTTATTAAAATTATTAGCATTTGTCAAGAAAAATTTATTATTATTTTGTATAAAGAATTTTCAGAGACGAGAAACTTATTAAAATTATTATATATTATATATTATAGCATTTGTCAAGAAAAATTTACTATTATTTTGTATAAAGAATTTTCAGAGAATTATTTTGGCATCCGTTGCTCGAATTCTTGTCATTATTGCAAAATATTTTAGAATGTTAACTAATTTGTCCAGCCACAACAATGCCAAGATAATTCTCTGAAAAGTTTTTATACAAAATCAATAATCAATAATCTTTCTGTCGAAGATTACATATTATTATAAAGCAAAATTTATAAATCGTACAAATTTTATCGCATATAGATTTTACTGCAAAGATTAATTTGTTAAGCTTAAATACAAATTAACATTTAATTAATTCTTAAGAGAAAAAGATCAGAATACGAATTTTCATGATTCTATGGATCTACATGCAGGAGCTATACGCAAGTGTTTGACATTACGAGCGCGTGTCATGTATCGTTCTCGATTGAATGTGTTACATGACCGTCCTATGTGATTCACACTGAGATGTTCTCCAATTGGCTTCCAGTGATCCGGCGTGATTGTGGGAGTGATCTCCTAATATCAAATGTCAAATTGACTTAATCTGGAAAATCAGCCGTTATCAGCTGTCATCTCATTCTCTTTGTTATGAGTGCTATCCTGAATCAAAATTTTATTCCTACTTTTCCTACTATTTCCTATTTTTTTTTATCTTTTAAGATTTATAGATTTTAAGAGGATAGTGATAGAAGTTTTCTTTATATGAATCTTTTTTCTATTATGCATCTGAAGTAGTAAACGAACAATTTTCTATTCTTGTTCAAAAGAGGAGTTCTAGATTATTTTCAATAGAATATTTTGTAATTTTAAGTAGAATTTGTAAATGTTAAATAATATCAAAAGAAATCGATCTGTTCAAAATATTGAAGCAGAAATCTCTTATAGAAATCCAATTTAACAGTAAGAATTATTTTGAGTATGAAAAATATTGAACAACAGTGCTTCCATAAAATATGCTAAGTACTTTTAGAATTTTATGTCGATTATTTTTTCCTATTTTATATGTTCTAAGGATTTTTCCTTAATTTTTTGTTATATGAATGCTAAAGCCTAAGCAAAGTTTGAAACTGATTCATTTTAAAATTTTATGTAACTAATTGTTCTATGTAACTAATTGTTTATTTTCTTTATTTGTTCGAATTTAGCTGTTAATCCCTACTTGTTGCAATGTAATAACTATTTACTTTACATGAAACTATGACGAACTTTCCTTGATGCGCACAACACACATTAATAATACACATACATAATAAAATTATCACCTTTACGCGTGCCTGCTCTTCTTAGAACCGCAAATATCTGCGATAACCAGTGCGAGGATCATCATTCATATCGGTCGGTCGGGGGTGAGAAATTTCCCTGGCGAATGCTGGTGATTCGTCACGATATCCCCGATATCCGTCCGTGACATCGCGCGTTCGCAATCGAACGATGGGAACGAGATCCAAATGCGCGATACGACGCTTACGATGCCCATGATCGTGTGTCCTCGGGCGCGTGCGGCTCGTAAAATCGTTATCGGAGGCACGCATCGTCGCGTCCGAAGGTAACTCGCTAATGGGGAGAAGCCTGAAAAAAAAAATGCCAGATTAAAACGCGCACGAAAGAATTTTTAATTCGGAGTATCCCTGAAGCTTGATTTACCGAAAGATCCGTCGTTGAGGGCAATTTCTCGAAGTAGCAAGCGTCTACAATTTATTTTACTTCAATTAGACAAATATTTCCGCTCGTTTCTCTCATTCTTTGAAAAAAAACCGAAAGGATACAGAAAAAAATTCCTCTCGAATTCGCGTGCGGCTTTTCGCGCAAATTGAAACACCCCAGGCCGTGTGTGATCGTGCG